TGCATCAGAACCACCTGGGGGACTTGCTAAAACACAGGCTGCCAAGTTTTTTTTGTTATTGTTTTTATTTAGTTTTTCGTTTTTGGAGCGGGGTGTGGCAGGCGGTGTACCTGTAGAATTTTTAATTTCCTACATCTGGAGTAAGAGCAGGAATTCACCTTCTTAACAAGTTCCCAGGTGGCACTCATGCTGCTGGTCCCAGGATCACACTTTGAGACCTATTACATTAGTATACACAACTTTCATACTACCTTTTTAGTGGAATGTCATGTTATAAATGTCTCCGTACCATTAGTCTTTATGATTTTTGATCACTGCATAATGTTTAATTAAATCTTATATAAAATATATCAGGCATGGGGAGGCAACTGTATTATCAAGTATATAATAAACGTCATAGTTCTCTCTTATAAGCCTATTTCAAGTCTGTTTAAAATAAAACATGGCTAGCTATAAATTTTTCCTTTTAAAAAGAAGATTAAAAAGCTCGACTCCATTTATAAAGTCACCATCAATGGAATTTGGTGATGATTCATGTCTTCCCACCACCACCATCATTATATCATGTTATTTATTATTCTCCCTTTTAGAAAAATATTCTCTTCATCCTCTTTTATAACCTGTTCTCTATCCTCACCCTCAACCCTCTCAAAAGCATACCTTATTATTATTACAAGATTCACGAACTGAAAGGGTCCCAGTTTCTGGGCAGGTCAGAGTCATCTCCCATTAGACTTTTAAAAAACTCCTAGGGATACAAAGTCCACAGCATCCTTTTACAGACCGTTCCATTTAATCTGTCATATAGCTAGAGCTGCCCTCTTACAGCTCTTTAAACAAGCATTCGGTTCCTACTGTCAATGGTGATGAGCATCTACTTAGTGCCTGTCTCATACACTAAACCTAGCTACAAAGTCATTCTTAACCTTGCACCTCGCTAAGACAACTGTCCTCAGCTTTCCGTAGACTCAGTTTCAGAGGACAGGCTGGCAAGAGCAGCACCGGGTGGGTCTCCCTTCACAGCATTACAAGACGGCGGTCCGTTTCACTGACTGTCATAAATAGCTGTGGACCTGCAGGAATTAAAGCTCTTAGAGTGTCTCAACAGTAAATGTGATGTGAGATTAAGAGTAAACACTAATGAACTGGTGACTATGAACAAGTAAATTGAAGTGATCACAAAGAGATAAGACAAGAATAAAGGGTTTTTTAAAAATAGAAACTTAGTAAGAACAACAAAAATGCCAGACCGATATGTAAGTAACACTTGTGAGCCTGCTTCCTGCAGCCATCGCTTCTGCCGCAAAGCCTCCCACACACTTACTGGGACGTTCGCCAGGTCACTGCAGGTCTTTATGTGGTTATGACACATTGTTGGTTGTTACAGTGCACTTCTGTCTCCCACAACCTAGTTATTCCCTTGCATAGCTGCCTAAAGAAACTAATGGCTTGAGAATGATTTACATTTTGCTTTGATAGAACATTCAACAGTAAGTAATTTTAATGGTGCTATCCTTTTGAAACACGTGTACACAGAAAACACCAAGACTGAACAAGACAAAGTCATTAAACTATGTACTCACACGACACTGTCACCAAAGTCTTGAGGATGGCTCCATATTACAGACACAATCTTTCTCTAGGTTTTAAAAATGGTCCTGTAAATACTGTCCAGTCATCTATTAACACAGTGAAAGGACATCCATGGGCTGCAGCTTACGCAAACACCATCTGGGCAATACAGAATGTGGGCAGGGTCCACGTGGGCACAGACTACAACTGGGTGGGAAAACCAGTGAACAGGCTGCTCCCTAGAAGCCAGGCTGTGACCTGGAGAGTGAAGGGCTTACTTTGAAGAAAGCTTCCATGAGCATCTGGTCGGGATGCAGGTCCCTCCACGGCAGTCTCCGGTAGGCGCTGTGAAAAGCGTACAGAATGAACTCGGGCATTTTGGGTGCCGTACATGCTTCACAATAATGCAGCAGGTGTAACCGCAGGGCTCCTTCATCACTGGGCAAGAGCTTATCTAAAATTGAAAATGAAAATATAGCTGAAGACCTTTTGGTTTATCTTTAAGACAAACAAAACAAAAAAGGAACACAAAACACAAATTTAAACTAAAAAGTCTAAAACTTAAATTACCCAGTTTCAAAGATTATCACACGTCAGGGGGAAAAAAAACTGATGGCAGAGTAATAATAAAGGTACTTGGGTAACTGGAAGGCGCACCCAGTGTGTGGGAGACAGCAGGGCTGATCAGTTTTTCTCCACAACTACTTCTAAATAGATGGTTTTCTAACTCAAACACACTTCCACGGCCACTAATCAATTCTAGGCGTCCCTTTGGTCTGTTGCCCTCAGCACGCATTCAATCCTGTGCATTTGGCACCTTGGAAAAATCCAACATTCCTCAGAAGGAAATGTTCACGTGACTAAATCCTAACCCTTTGTGCAGTAAGACTAGACTACTAGATGTCATTCTGGTAAGTCATTAGAAACGAATCTCACACTCTTCTGTGACCCGGATCACTCAGTACTGTCCTCGTAAGTATCAATTACTTTAGTGCCCTAACCGCTAATGGCAATGTTAAGGGGCATTTAGCCTAAAACAAATTTTTCAGATTCTCTGGATCTATGCCAAAGAATGGAATGTAGCCAAAGAAGAGAGAGCCACACATGACGAGAACAGACACCTCGTGGGAGTTTCTCAACACTGACTTTTTGAAAAACAATCCATAAGCATCAATATATGGCGCCAGTCGACTTACCACTGCTGACATTCCTGCGTCCTCAATCCCCAGCCCTTACCTTATTCTATAGCCTGAAACATTAACACGCATTTTTAACAATCTTTTAAGACGGGGGTGAAGAGTAGCATTTGCTTAAATATGGATAAAAGACAGTTTTGTTCAAATAAGGATGGAGACACAGGAGATGTCTAAGACATTATAACCTCTTAGGACCAGCCTGAGCTTCTGCTTCCAGCCCAGACACAAATATGTTCTGTGATGTCAGATAAATTCATTTCACTTTCCAGGTGCAGATTTTTCTCATCAATAAACACAGAGAGCGGGATCAGATGATCTCACTAAAAGGCTATAATTTAATACTTCTTCATCTTGCTATGCATAGTTCTATGTCCTCTCTCTGAACTCAGCTACCAAGTCTTAATGTTATCCACGTGCCCACCCGTTTCTAGGCCATTCCTTATCTTATACACATAGGCAAGAGCCTGTTTGAGTGCTTGCCCCTTATTCTAAGAAACTACTTAAAGCCTTTATGACAATAATTTTATGCTCACTATTTTCTCACTATAAAGACATTCTGGATGGTAAAAAGCAGCTAGAAGTCTGCCTTTCCAAAAAAAAAAAACAGAACGATTAGGACTTCATGTGTTATTTACTGAACTAACACTTCACAAATAGACACAGAGAACATGTACTATCCTCAGTCTTGAGGAGGATAAAAAGAAGGGTGCTTCTTTGGACAAGAGTCCACCCTCACCCACACACACACCCTCTTCCTCCCCTCCTCCCCACTGGCTGCCGGACTCTAGAATAAACAAATTCCCCTTTTTACCAAACACATGCCTCTCTTTCTTATTGGCTGTCAAGCAGCGTGCAGCGGGACTCAAGTTTCAGTAACACCTTCCCAGGTGTTAGAACCACACCAAGGTCTGAAGGCTTTCCTTGCCTACCCTGACTCCTCTCCCTCTTATTTCCACAGGCATCACTCCAAATAAATCTCAGCCTTGTGGCTCCACCATGGTGCCTGCTTTGCAAGGATTCAAACTACAACAACGTGCTACGAAGATTATTGCACATGAATAGATATGCAGTGGAATATAAAGGGCCTGAGGCTTCAACCAGGCAGTGCAATCAGCATAAGCAAAGGAACAGCAGGGGGAAGGTCTAAGGACTTTCAGGGAGCAGTGAGTGGAGCGGTGTGGCCGGATGGGATGTTCCCATAAAAACTATCGCATAATGTTGTTGAAGTCCTCCGGGCCAGACCCATTTGAATGCTGAGCTACAACTTTATCACACTTGAAAGTTTCTGAATAAGAATATAATTGGATATAAGTAGAACTTTAGGAAAAATCAATCTAACACATAAGCCAAGACCAGAAACTCAAGATAGAAGAAACAGTTAGGCTATTGCAAGAATCTGGATTGGGTGGACCGACCTCTATCTTAATAAAGCCCCAATACACAACATGCAGATACACGAAGCAAAATGGAACATCTCTGAAAATGCACAGCCAGATATACTCAGTGGAAGAGAAACAGCAGGGGCCAGAAGCAGAGAACCTGGGGAAGCTGAGAAGTGAGCTGACGCTGGATCTTCCCGGGACTGTCTGCTCACGTGGGGTTTCAGCAGCACAGGAAACAGAAGACAAGACCCTCGAGGACTGCACCCTCAGCGCAAGGTGGGAAACGGAGCACCCGTGCCTTAGTCTGGACTCAGAGCTGGGGACGCAAGAACACTGACCGTGGTAATTGGGTCTGGGGTTTGATTTCACGTATCTGTGTAGTGTGAGAAATCCCAATGCAAAAAATTGCACGGACCCAACTGGCAACAAATGCTGACCTTTTCTGGAGGCACACACCTTCATCTTAGCCGTCACAGAATTTCTATAGTCTAACTGCGGGCTCACAACAAAAAATGAAACACACACAGAAACAAGCCTCTGAAGGGACATCAAGACAGCAGCGCGAGCCACCCTCCTCCCCGCAGGAGCTTCAGCTCGTGGAACTGCTGCACTGAAGTCATGAAGGGAAGTAAGCATGCTGAAACATTTTAAAGAAATGAAAACTGGAGTTTTAAATGAAAGAAACACGATGCTATCAAAAAGGATCAGGGTGAACTTCAAAAAATGAACAACATAACTTCTAGAAATTGAAATGAAAAATGCAATGAATACTTTTTCTAAGCAGATTAGACATAGCTAGAGAGATGCAGTAAACTGGAAGAGAAACCTCAGGAATTTGCCCAAAACGAAGCACAAAAAATTAGAAAACACAAAAAAGAAGTGAGCCACAGAGACAGAATGAGGTTCAATGTGGTGGGGGGGAGGGGCAGACAAAACGTGGAGAGAGAAAGGCCTACTTTCTGTAACTGATGGCACTCAGCGCCACCTCACCAAGAAGAGGTTACACACTTGACACCAAATAATTACACGGGTGACCTTTCTTTGGTCAAAGATGACAGCCTGACAAAGTTAAATTAAGTAGGAAAGCAAATGCAAGAGATTAACTGAATGACTTCGGAAAAAGTGAAAACTAACCAGAGACATAATAGCACATCTTTGTACCTTTAAATCTCTCGTGCAATGAATCAATGCAGTCGGTGAACAGCTGCACAACGCTTGAGGCCACCACGGCATCACTCTCCAGCCAGGGGTAATGTCGCTGGCCGCTTTAAACAAAAGAAACAGACACTTAGAAATGATTAAACTACTCTATGGCCCAGAGTCTGGGGGGCTTGCCTAAGTCCTAGAAAACTCTGTATAATGTAGCCTAAGACACACTTAGACCACTTTAAAGGCTGTAAATTCCTGAAGGTGAATTGGAGCTTTCAATATCAATCATATAATTATACTTACTTTCCTTCCTAAACTTTATTTCAACACAATTAAGTTTCAGAAGTGTCTTATCTAAGTAACTATTAAATTAACACTTTTTACAACCAGTTTATGCCCTTGAGCCCATTCCTTGTGTATCCTGGTTACATTTCAAGTGCCTTAGAGAACAGTTCTGTCTGTGTAAGGGAGGGGAGAGGAAAAACAGTCATGTAACCAAAGATGACCAAAAATGAACAGAGAGGAAATAACCAAAGAAAAAAACTCTTTAAATGAACATTTTAGTTTCTGAATTTGGTACTGAAAGTAAAATGTAGGAATAAATTCCATTAATTCTTCCTAGGAATAAACAGGCACCCTGTTTTATGGTCAGCAGTCTCGTGGTCCTGAAAACAAAACCCTGAAGCTTGCAGAGTGCATAAGGACAGCCCTTGGCAAAAGCAAAGGCCTAGAACCTTTTCTATTTTCTTCAATGGGCTCTTGAAGCAGCTTGGTGATACAAAGAGTCTGGCATGGAGGTTAAAGCTCTGAGCTCTGGTCCCAGATCTGGCCCCACTGGCTGTGGGATCTGAGCAAGGTTTTCTGAATCTCAGGATGAAATTAATTCATATTTGTGAAAACACTTTAAATACTGTGACATTTACCACCAGTTTAATTCTTAGAAAACTCTGGACCCCTAGCTTCTGTTTGTATGCTTTTAGGGGAAAAAAGACTTGTAAGGCAACTCCCTATATTTGGACAGCTCTACACCTCTGTTTTAAATGCTTGTGAAATAATGCTTCCATTTAGTTGCAGAGTTCACGTGAAAAAGGTAATTCTACCCAGTAATTTGAAAGCCATCTTAGTTTCAAAAAATAACTGAAATACTGGGTAAAATCAAGTTAGCTTCATATTTTGTAGCACTATATTATCCAGGAGAGCAATACCCACTTTTCTGAAATTAAATACCAAACACATTCAACTTCTTTATTGTAGAAAACTGGAAATGAGTATACAGTTTTGCTTCAAAATCAACAGCTCTGATCAACCAGACTAACAAGCCCACAAACAGAAAATGTCTTTATTTTGTAAGGCAGTATTTTCTAAATTTAAAGATGGCCCAATACTAGAAATCGAATCTGCAAACCATCACCTATAACAAAACACCGTCAGAACATTAAGGCTATAAATTTCAAAGGCATTTGAATATTGGAAAAACTGTGTACCTTTCATTGTCCTCTAAAACCAGGATCCACGGCTTAAAGAGTTGGACGATTATCGCATGCAGGGATCTCAGCACTGATACAAAGCAAAAATTTTAGAGACAAGAAATAAACCCATCAAATGCAGGTGGTCAACAAGCATGTGAAAAGATGCTCAACATCACTAATCATCAGAGAAATGCAAATCAAAGCCACAATGAGGCATCACCTCACACCTGTCAGAACGGCGATCATCAAAAAGAATATAAATAACAAATGTTGGCAAGAATGTGAAGAAAAGGGAATCTTCATATATTGTCAGTGGGAATGTAAACTGGTGCAGCCACTGTGCAAAACACTATGGAAGTTTCTCAAAAAACTAAAAATAGAACTACTGAATTACCCAGCAATTCTACTCCCGGGCATATATCCAAAGAAAAAAAAAAAAGCCCACTAATTCAAAAAGATATATGTGCCCCAATGTTTACAGCAGCATTAATCACAGCAGCCAAGATACGGAAGCAACCTAAGTGTCCATCAACAGATGAATGGATAAAGAAAATGTATATAAATACACATGTATGTATGTATGTATCTATATAAACACACACACACACACACACACACACACACACACACACACACACACACACACAATGGAATATTACTCAGCCATAAAAAAGAATGAAATTTTGTCATTTGCAGCAACAGGGAGGGACCTGAAGGGTATTATGCTAAGTGAAATAAGTCAGACAGGAAAAGACAAATACTGTATGATATCACTTGTTTGTGGAATCTTAAACACAACAAACTACTGAATATAAAAAAACAGAGCAGACTCAGAGATACAGAGAACAAACTAGTGGTTACCAGTGGGGAAAGGGAAGTGAGCAGGGGCAAAACGGGTAGGGGATTAAGAAGCACGAACTATTACTCATAAAATAAGCTATAAGGACATATTGTACAACACAGGGAATATAATCAATATATTATAACAACGATAAATGGAGTACAAACTTTAAAAATTGTGAATCACTATTTTGTACATCTGTAATTTATATAATAGCGTACATCAACCATACTTCAATATAAAAAAAAGAAACAAGCCCATCTTTTGTCAGCATCACTGATAATTACATAGAAAATCTATTTCTTACCTGTATACTCATAAACCTATGTTGATTTCTAAACAACACATTTACTACAACTAAGCATGTTTTAATCTTCATTTGCTGCAGTGAAATTTCTTAAACTGAGGAAGTTTTATTACAACACAATGTCATGTATGTCATGTTATAAAATTATAACATACTTTTTTTAACGATAAAATCTTAAATTTTCTTAACAAGATAAATAATAGGAAGAAAGAATTGGAGACGGAAACTTATCTTTGTACCCCACCCTACAGAAGAGCCAAAACAAGCAGAGGCAAGCACCCACTATGTTAAGTGAACGTAGGGGTGACACATACATGGGTTCCTCCCTGTGCTTTGTATTCCCTATTTCTTCTTTGTGACAGATACGTGGATTTATCACCAAGATTTAAATCTCTTAACGTGTCTATTCAAGTGTCTTTTAGTGGAAGGTCGGAACACCCGGCTCCATACCTGTTTTGCTGCTGGCAGATGGGCCCTGGGCCAAGCAGGCCATTTCTGAGTCAAGCAGCCTTTTCACTAGATAGGCCAAGAGTGTCTTCATTTCAGCCACGTAAGGGCTCCATTTTGAAAATAAGCCAAAGCTTTTAAAGTCCAACGTGGATAACCGAAGCTTATTTAAAAAGTTGGAGAGCCACTGTATGGTCTCCACCACCTGGAAAAGAATGGCCAGTAAAAAAAAGCACTTGTCTCCTTTCAGTAGAGTGCCCAGTAGACTGTGACGGGGGCTCTGACTTCGTAATGGAGCAAAGGTATACAGTATATGAAAAGTAAACCAGATTTCAAACTCTTTTTCTAAAGCAAAGGAACAATTTTTTCAAATAAATCCATATCATATAAATTTGATGAAAATGACCGCTCCATGGGACGCTACGTGAAAAGCTGCCCGAAGGAGCCAGTGAAGCAGGGGGGTCAAGGTGGGGAGGGAAGGTACACACAGGGGCTGGGTGCGGGCTGTTCTTGAACAGAGGGGCAAGAATCAGACTCTCAGGCATGAGAGAACAGCAATCCAGGCACAGGGGGCATGGCAGGGGTGGAGAAAGGAAAATGCAGGGCTCTTAGAGATAATGCATGGAACAGCAACTTTTTAGATACATACTTTCAATGTGTTCCAACTGTTTAAAAAACAAACTTCAAAGGAAGTGGAAAAACACACACACACACACACACAGATAAAAACTTCAGAGACCAAAATCTACACACCTGCTTGTCCGACAAGAGACCATCCGGAGAGCTCTGAAGCCCCGTGCTCTCGGCAGAAGCTGCCCCCTGCTGGCAGTTCGGGGAGCAGCAGCCCAGGGCTCTCAGGGTGGCTTTCCAACACTCCGGGCTCAGCAGCTGCTCGGCGGAGCCTTCCCAGGCGGGGACAGAGAACAGCAAGTCAGCATCCTTCAAACTAGCCTTTCAACTTGAATCAAAGAACATGTGTACTTTTCAAATGAATGAATATTAAATAAAAATCCAAAACAAATTCATAAATATCCGTGGTCAAAGATCTGTCCACATGGACGCTGGACTTCCCTTGTTCTTGGTAAGCCTGCTGGCAGTGAGCACAGCCTAGCCATGTAAGCTGGAATGCAGGACCCTGCCCGGGAGTGGTAAAGGTGCCGTTTTCCTGGCTGGATTGTGTGAGAGAGACAAGAAGGGAGACAGGGTGCAGAACGGTAACTGCAGAGTCTAGGCTCTCTTCAGAAGGAGTCTCGTGCTCACCCCTAAAACCGCTCCTACAACAGGAAGACCTAAAGCAACGCAGAGACAGTGTGCAAAAGTAAAGACTACTGGCCAGCACTCTGCTGCTTGCAAAACTCACTTCCCAGAGGACTGGAATAATACGTCCTCAGGTCCTTTCTACCCAGAGGTGGTGTGAGGGTAAAACAAGACAACAGAGGCTCATTGGGGAATTTGATGAGGTCAGCTGCACTACTGAGTGTGAGGTATCTGGGGGACAGTGAGGAGTCCATGTCCAACAGCTACTATGGTCTGGATCGGAGGGCAGAGGCCTGGAACCCAGGTATGGAGTCACGCACACCTAAAAGATGGCAGTGAAACCAGGGGAAAATGCAGCGAGCTCACCTAGGGCAAACAGAGAGAGCAGAAGAGCAAAGGATGAAACCCTGGGAAGAGCGACACGGTGGCCAGAGAGGGTGGGACACCAGGAGGCTGGGGGTCATGGACTCTGACAGAGGTGGCACTGTCATTCTTAAAACTTTAACTGAATTACTTCTCCTGGGAAGTATCAATTTCCTGCTAAATCCAAGTCAATGGTTGCCCATATAAACAATTTACAATCTCTTTAAAAGGTTTCAGGGGAAAACTCTACAAATTGAGATACTTAATCAAATTTTGAAAATTTAGAGCAAAAGTCAGCTATACAAATAGGCACTAAAAATTATACAAGTACAGATAAACAAGATTATACTGTGTAGCACAGGGAAATAAATACAAGATCTTGTGGTAGCTCACGGTAAAAAAGAATGTGACAATCAATATGTGTTACGTTCATGTATAAATGAAAAATTGTGCTCTACACTGGAAATTGACACAACATTGTAAACTGACTATAACTCAATAAAATAAAATTAAAAAATTATACATTTCCCTACCCCTATTCTCCACCCACCCTCATCTTCCCTCTGTAGGAAACAATGAAAGCTCGAAGTGCTTTGAAAGTGAGACCATATATTTCAGTTCTCTTCAGGGGGTCCAATACATATGATCATTATTCAATAAAACTATTTCTATGAAGTAACACAAAGATTTGGAATAAAGCAAAATTTACTTTTCCATTACATCTGGAAACAGTATGGAGTTTGCATGAAAAAAAGTAAGTACTATCTTTTTTTTTAAATCTCAGTAAAATCCCTGCTTAGCAAAATTCCAAAAATAAAAAAGCCTACACCCTTTCTTTTTCTTCTCATCTCAACAACTCCGACGGCAAACTGCAGGAGGTGGATGGAAATGGTGGGAAAGTGGAACATTCAATGCTGCTCTTTCTCTTGACTAACATAAATACAATGTATAAAATTCATTTGCAAAAAATAAGAGTCCAAAACTTAGGGGGGAAAAAAAAACAACCCAAATTTATTCACTCATTTTGGAACTACAGAGAAACCAACTGGCATTTTAAGCATATTGTAAAAGAGCAACTTCCTTCCCTTCCCAAATGTGTTATCACCAAAGTAATAAACAGGCCCACATCCATCCCACCCTGGTGTAGGGCAGGTGCAAAGTCAAGGTAAAGGGGCGGTGGGTACATGACTATGGACTCCAACCCCAATGTCTGAGTGCTGTTCTGCCCAATTAGGGCTCATTCTAACATTTAGGACAATAACTGACCATTTTTATAGACAGCAACTTCTTGGGCACTCTTGTTCATTGAGCACTCTAGGTGAAAATTAGTGAGCCTAACCTCCTGCAGGCTTGTATTATTTTTACATTTTTGGATGACATCTGTACAATGGTAAGTGTCACATTAAATATTCACGGTGATCTATTCAGTCACAATTAAAAGACACTTACTTTGCATCAGCAGCCTGAGAATGTCACTGTACTGGTCAGGGAACTGGTAGAGGAGAAGGTAAGTCCAGTGCTTACAGAAAAGATTAAATGGCATCAAAATCTCTTCATCTGGTTCAAGGCCCCAGGCAGTAAGTGCCAAGTGAATGAACTCCAGAAGCCTGGTACGATCAGACAGAGGAGGTTTAGTGGCGTTTAACCATTGCTTAAGATCGAACTAAAAAGAAAAAGAAACAAGAAGCAGTTTTATTTACACTAGAAAATTAACTGAAACAGAGCAAGCTATGTGCAAATTCAGTCTGAAAATCAAGCTACCCAGCATTTAGCTTTTTATGAAGATTGAAACTAAAATTTACATACTGAAAGGAATCTAGGCAGTTCAGTAACAGACAGTGACACTGGGCCTCACCCCTACTTCACTCCTGGGATTACAGAGTGTTCTCAGCTCTATGTGCTTTTTTGTAATTTAAAATCTAGTTGGTAAGTTTTCCCTACAAGACAAGGGTCAGAACTTTGTGGTTCTCCTTCACCAGCCACAGTGCCACAAACATGCTTTATGGAACTGTCCCCATCTAATGGTCGTGTTTCTGAGTTTGCATCAGTTCATGAAAATTCAGGGTGTTGATATCACCTTCCAGAATCCCAAACTCTAAAACATGTTCTCCGCCATTACACTGAGATCAGCCTCCAGGCCTTAAAAATTGCTCAGGTTTTATGATTCATACATGTCAGAGAAATACAGTTGAATGCAAAATAGGTGAGGCTCTGAAATTCTCAACTGGTTAAGTAAATTCACGGCCTTGGTCTGAGTTGATAATTTTCTATCCAGAATAAGACAAAGGCAATTTGCTTAGATCTGGCTATTCTGAGAGATTCTGACATAGTACCACTCAGTTATCAAACACAGTTAATGCATCAAGTCAGGATATATTCAAAAGAAGGATGTACTAAATTATTGCTATGAATATTTCAAAACTGTATCAAGCTTTTAAAGAGGGTTTGGGAGTTGGTCCTTTAGTCCTATGCGGTTGGTGTAAGACTGCCCCCAGACACACACAACATAACCAACGCCCCCAGAAGCAGCAGCCGTGAGATCAGACGACTTGAAGATGGTATCAAATGTGAAAAAGGGCCTGTCGGCCTCCAGTCCACCCAGAGGCAGAGCTCCAAGGGCCGTGTATTTCTGCGGGGCTGGAAACAGCAGCAGTGCCTACATTTCCATGATGACGTCAGGACTGAAGTGCATCTCACCTTGGTGAGCAGCATGAAAGTCATGTCACTGTTGTCCTCACTCAGAAACTTCACCACCTTCTCATACAGCTGTATGAACTCTGCAGGTGCTGCGTTGGGAGTGAAGAAGGGGGACAAAAGAGAGCAGAGCCTCTGGTTCTTCAGGATGGTCTGAAGCACCTTCCTGCATTCGGATTTAGTGCCACTGATGAACACCTTGCAAGAGTTGAAAAGGGAAGATGTCACCAAATTCTCCCCCCCTCAACTTTCGTTTAAGCAATCAAGTTTCGAGGAGTATATAAGGCCAACAGAATTTTTTCTAAATGGAAATATGAAATAATCACAAGAAATCTAAAATCAACATAGATAAACCTATCACTTCCTATGTAAGTGATATTAAGGTTTTTGGATAACCCATTCATTTTATTTGGACAAACCATAGAAGATTTTTAAAAGATTAAAATACTAGGATAGTTTGAATTCATAAATTTGCAATGTACCTACTACGACTACCAAGTATTCAAAGTAATTCTGTATTATGTCAAAAAAAACTTCTCATTTATAGATTTTACTGAGACGTGTTTCTCATACTTTTAAAAAGCTAACTTTCACAGTTAATATACATACACTTAAGATAAATTCATCTTGCTTTAACTCAGTTCTAGTGTTTAAAAGTACTAGAATATAAGTAAATATTAAAATAATCTCAGGGTCAGGAAAGCTTTGATAAGCTTGACCACAGGCAAAAATAATAAAGGACAAGACCAATAGATTTGAATATGTAAAAAAAATTTTAATTTCTATAAGGCAAAAAGTATCATAAAATTAGAGAAAAGTGACAAAGTAGAAAAATTCCAGATACCAGGTTAATAATAGTCTAAGGAGGTCTTTCAAAACAATCAAAAAACAAGAAGCTCTCCAACAGAAAATGTGCTAAAGACAATAACCAGGAAACCATAAACAATAATTAAATGACCAATAATTATTTGAAAAGCCATGCAACTTAACAAGCACTTAAAGAAAAACAACTTAAAATATCACAAAGCACCACTTCCCCTATTAGATTAGCAGGACAAAAAGAATGACCATTCCTAATGTTAGTTCTAACATGAAGAATAATAAAGAACAGAAACCCTCCTCTTATAGTATAAATAAGTACAAACTTCCCAGGAGGGCAGTGTGACAATATACACCAAGTGTCAGACCCTTTGACCCAGTGATCATACTTCCAGGAAATTATCCTAGAAAAAATAATCCAACAATTTCACAAAAATATGTAAAAATATTTATCTCAGGCTTACTGTAGCAAAACAAACAATATTCATTCACAGGGCACTGGCTCAATACATTACAGTCTATCTGTACCATGAGACGCTATACATTAAATATCATGATATAGGTCTGTATTTATTATCAAGGAGTAATGTCTAAAACGTGTGCCTGAATGAAAAAAGCAGGTTATAAAATAGTATGTGCCAGTTTTTGAGTGTGTATCTCTGTATCTACATATAGGAGTGATATATCATGTTTACACATACACACAGACACACAAGAACAAACTATAAAGAGATGTTAGCTATATAACCAGTATCTCCAGGAGATTAGGATTATGAGAAATTTTTCTTCTTTATACTTTTTACATACTTTGCATTGCTTATAATAAGCACACATCAATTTTATAATCAGGAAAAAACTATTCTAAAAAAATCTATTTTAATATCTGCTCAGCATCACCTCCCTAAAAGTATCCAATACATAAGTACTCACTTGATTGAATTTGGGTGAGAGGACATGGTTAATTTACATACTTTTCGGCAAGTGGCCTTCCTTTCTTTTATGACACATTTCATAAATCTGCCTGGGTACACAGCCCTTGCCCTTGCTAAATATCAATATATTTAATAGTAACACAAATAAATAAATAAATGGTGAGTAGCAACGGGGAGGCAGCAGTAGAGAGGTGGAGCGAGCACTGAAGGAGGACCTGGGATTCTGGCTCAGCTCCAGCACTCACCAGCTGTATTCTTTAGACAAGTCACTTAATCTTTAAGAAATCAGTTTCCTCATCTTTAAGATGAAAATGATATCAATCACATAGAGTCACTGTGAAAATAAAACAAAATACTGAATCAAAAAGCATCTTTTGAGCAATAAAGAGCTTCAGTAGTATTACCATTAACACCAACAGCATTTGATAGAATTTGATGTCCCCTCAGAGACTTTCAAATATTAATAGAATTCTGTATCAACAATTCTAACCACATCCTGAGAAATCAACAATTCAAAGCGGCTTCTAACTTTGATTAAGACTCTGAACCTGTAAGTCTAGAGTCAACCCTCCCTATATCTAAAGAGGACACTATGGGGACCCAACATATGCGAATAAGGCTGAAAACATAAGATAAACTTACCTGTCCCAAGATCTCAATGCATGAAGTAAAGAACTGCCTTGTGGGAGGGTGACGCTGGGTCTCATCGCTGACATAATCCACGACAGTGAAGAAGAGGCTGATGCCAACCTTCTGAACCCCGGGGGTGGGCTGTGACTGGTAGGCATTCACCAAGGCCCTGTGGGAAAACGCAGGTAAGGCTATTGGTCTACAGTAAGAGAATTCAGACTCATGAGCGTTTCCCTGATTCTCTACATTTTGCAGGCAACATTCTTAAGAGTCCTCAGAGTCCCATACGAGTATCATTTTAGAAATATTTCATGGGGTGAGGATCTTTCAACATGACCCAACAACTTATTTTCAATACACAGAAATTATATTTTATGCCTCTCTAGAGGAAAAAAAATCACCTGTATTATAAAGGCTAATTAACTTATTAAATATTTTTATATTTTATATGTAATTCATAAGTTGTTATTTAATTTGGTAACTTCCTTACATAACACATATTTTTAAAAATAAGAACCCAGATTTTTCTAAATTTTAAACTCCAAAACACAGACTTAGGTTAAAAAGAAAAGATTTTTGTACAGAGTAAGATCCTAGAATAAAAGATAGCTCTTGTAATTCTCACTCTTATTTGAGTTCCTTTCCTAGAAAAATAAACATCAACATCTTGTTCACCTTATCTCCTGCTCTTTCCCAGGCCCCTCAAGCCAATCCACAAAGGGTCTTAATGCCCCCACCCACACCATCGTCGCTATCTGCTGGGGGATTAGCTGCTGGTACCAGCATGTGCAGTCACCTTAAAGTAAAAGGCAGAGTCAAACTGCCCTCTCCCAGGTAATGTCCTGGTGCCTTTGGGAAGAAAGAGGAGGATGAGAGTAAGCCAGGAGTTCCTAGAGAAACCATAAGGGCCAAATACAAGCTGCCAGCCACACTTGAGAGCCCTAGTTCCCCCGAGCAATTCCACTGCAAACCTTGCTCAATAATCTGAATTGACAATGATGATTTCCTAGGTAAATATGACTTTAATATAAAACTTAAGCACTAGAACTCTTCATGATTGAATTCCAAAGCACTGTATAATCTCCTAACTCAAGGGTCAGCAAAATTATTCTATAAAGGGCCAAACAGTAAATATTTTATGCTTTATAGCCCATAAATTGTCACTACTCAATTCTGCCATTGTCGCATAAAAGCCATACACATTAAGTAAGAAAATGGGCATGGCTGAGTTCCAATAAAACTTTATTTATACAAATAAAATGGCAGGTCAGATTTGGTCCAAAAGCTGCTGATCCCTGTACTAATTAGTGGGTGTCTAGGGGGTGTAGTAGCATGTATGATTACTATCAATAATAGCAAAATAGTACTTTAAATTACAGTGCCTTCAAAACTTACGTGATCAAGTTTTCTGCATGCACAGCGGTTTCCACAACATTAAGTGATGGTGGCTTAGCAGCTTCTGCTTGCAACTGCTTCACTTCTTTTCGCAGAACATGAAGCTGTTGGCTTACTGCTTCATTCTTGTGCATACCTTCAAACTAACAAAAATTAAAGTGGTCAACAGATTGATCTGCTCCTCCAGGTTTCTAGAGCAGATATTTTATTACAAATATATTTAGAAACAGACTCACAGACACAGAAAACAAACTTACGGTTACCGGGGGGAAAGCAGGGGGGAGGGATAAATTGGGAGTTCGAGATTTGCAGATACTAACTACTATCTATAAAATAGATAAACAGCAAGTTTATACTATATAGCACAGGAAACTATATTCAATATCTTGGAGTAACTTATGGTGAAAAAGAATATGAGAATGAATATATGTATGTTCATGTAAGGCTGAAGCACTGTGCTGTACACCAGAAACTGACACAACATTGTAAACTGACTCTACTTCAATAATAATAAATATTTTTAAAAAATACACTAAGTATTTGATGAAGGAAATATTATTACAACTAATACTATAATTCAAAAGTCTCAGTTTAATCCTCAGAGGGATGGGGAAAAAAATGCCAAAAAACTTAATCAAGAATCTCCAGTTTTTCATGAAGAATCAGCTTGAATTAGTTTACTGCTGTTTCAAGTCTTTTGTAGGCTGCAATCTGCGTCATTTATGCTTCAACTCTAAAATTCTCATCAAAAATACATTTGAAGTCTTCCACCCGAGGCTTCCTCTGAAGCACACCAAGGCCCCTCCTCTGCTGCACCCTCCCCCCGTCCCCAGAGCCATAACCCCTCTCTGTTCTCCTAATTCAGAAGCACACATAATTCACCTCAAAACTCTCGGGCTGCATGTCTCATGTGTACCAAACATAAAAAGAAGATGCCACAAATCTGTTAATAAAACATTTGCCATTTTTAAAGGAAGAATATATACTTATAAAACCACCAAAAATAAGACAAAATATGGGAAGTGCCTGAATCAGCTGCATGCCTAGAAGCAACTGACTAAATTCAGTGGTTCCTGAAAGCTGGTCTTTGAAAAAATTTTTATTGCTTCTCAGCAAAGAGGTGAAAAAGTAGAGAATTTCTTGAGCTTTAAAAAAATAAATAAGTGAATTTATTTCAATTTAAAACCTATCCTTTATTTAAGATTATGCCCTTCCTATATGAGAGGGTTGTTAATATCCTTTTCTCTAATTAATTGATGGTGGCCTATATGGTGACTGCTTTGTTTGTGTACTTTCAACGTTCTTTTTTGGATGTAGATAGATGCAGAGATTATCCGAGGCCCAGGTTGCAACACAGAGACAGAACCAATGTGGCGTTTGTTGGGGACAGGGGGACAGCAAGGAGAAGTTCAACCAGGTCGGGGTCGGGGCTGAAGAGTGCAGTGCAATCAGACCGGGGAGCACGGGGTCCTGTCTTGGGGAGAACTTTAAAACAGGCTAGGGAATTTGGACTTATCTTGCAGGCCTGGCAGGAAATGCTGAAGAGACCAGAACACTTAGAAGGCAGGGATTTTAAATCCTGAGGTCTCAGCCACCACTACAGTGATTGTAGGTATCCTTTGTTTATAAATAATGTAATTACTTAATTCATCAGCTTACTGACCTGAATGTCAAGGTCATTTTCATAAATTTCCAGATCAAAAGTCCCTGACCAATGGTCCTGTTTACTCTGCTCTACCCAGCAGCCCAGTGCGGCACAACTCGGACAGATGATACACTGAGCACCTACTCTCAAGATCATGGTGATAACTTTCTTCCATAAAACTCACCAATGCTGTGCAAAAAATCTTTACAAAACTTGTTGTTTTAAAGAAAAAATAAACTATTATTATGAATCAAACGGCATATAAGTGAATATCCAAGAACGTATCATGTTAACAACAATTTAAGTTTTACTACTGGAGAAACAAAAGATTAAAAAAAGTAAATTACTTCCATTAAACCACATAATGAGTGTAAATGTACCGACTATATTATTCAACGTGCTTCCTGTGGGGTTAGTACATTGAGTTCTCATAAAAGGCCCAAGCATAGATATGCTTTACCTGATTCAAACGAGTACACTGAGGGTTAGAAAGGTTACGTGACCTTTTGACAGCTACCTAGCTAGTGCCAATGCAGCCAGATTTTGAACCAGGTTCTGCTGACTGAATAAGATGCACCATCAAACAGGTTTTTTCCACCGCTACTCAGAGTGCAGTCCTTAGACCAGCGCCTGAATCATATTTTACTAACACCATGTTAGGGGTCTGGGAGGACACAAGATCTGACATGGATGGAAAGCATTTTGAAACTTTTAAAGCAATTTACTGGAGTAATTTTGTTTCTGTTGAATCTAATTTTTTAAAAATTAGGGCAAAAAAAAACCCCACATAATGAATCAAAACAAATATTTATATTTCAAATCTTTCAAATAACAGGCCAATGTTTAACAGCCCAAAATGTGATTCTAGGAGGATGTGCGGCCAGCTTTTTGCCCACATGTCACCGACTACAAAAGGCTGGGTCTTTAAGGGTCACTTGACTGGCCTGGAGAGAAAGTAGCCTAACAGAGGAAGAGAGAGGATCTTAGAGGAGAAAAGAAGACAGTAAGAATGAAGTGAAGCAGAAAGAAACGCCTTTCTGTAAGAAAGAACAGAGGTTCGCTAGACTGGGAAAGGCAGAGACAAGACTAAAACCACGTTGGAACTCAAACTTCAAAACTGCCACCCCATGTTGTAAAAACTACAGATGCTGAAGAATAAAAGAAAGCCGACTAGTTTAGAACAGTTTAGACTTTCTCACCAAAGAACAGCCCCAAATTATCATCATTTCCTAGTCTACTTATTTTTGCTTATTTTTCCCACCACTGTTAATAGTTTTCGTTTCTTACAAGAATGGAGGTGGGAGAGACTGGACGTCTACCAGCTCATAATTACAAGAAGCTGTAGGCAGCAGCAGCAAGCAGCATGTTAGAAGCCCCTCCACTTGAGCCACTTTGAGCAGACAGAGAAATTCAGAAGTTGGGCACAGAATATGCTTCAGCAAGTTTTCACAGTAACGTGAGGCCCTCTGTGGGTCTTTTCCAGCTTTCATTTCTAGGAATGAGCAAACTTTTCACAGGATAATAAATCAATCCTGGGTCCAGCAAACATGCCCCACAATACCCAAGTACAACAGAAGGAACCCTATTATAAATCACCCCATTTCCTTAGGGAATATCACTGAATTATTAGAGGCTTTTATTAGGAGAGGCAACCACAGAAGAGGCACGTCTCACTTCCCATAAAACACATTTGGCTTTTGTATACCCCAAACAAGCTATACATAGTTCAAACATTTGCAGATGGCTGGAAATTTCCAGGGCTTTCCCTCACAGAAAAATGCTATTAAGTAATAAAACACTTTCATGATATAATGTGAAATCTTTACAAATGAGCCATTGAAAGTTATTTTTAAAATACATTTAACGTGTTTAGAGTTTAAAATTTAAAATTCGTACTTGAAATATAAGATCATTTCCCATGAAGTTGACTTTAAAAACTGATCCAATCCATGAATTCTCTAATCACTGAAAAAGCAGCAGTTCTATCACACTAACTCAGAAAGAAAAACCTACACATGTTAATTCAAATGAGATCTGATTGTCATGATCAGCTAGTCTTTTGAAATTAGAGCTAAAAAAGCTAAAGCAAATGGCTTGGCCATTCCCCAATACTGAATGGAAAAGCATGAATCTTAAATTTTAAAAACCTGGGCTTGAATTCCAACTGAGACACTTACTAGCTGTGTGTCTTGGCAAGTTTCCACCCCTCTCTGAACCTGCTTCCTCATCCTCACTCTGCAAAGCTTAAATGAAATAACATAAGCTAAGCCCCTAGCATATGACCTGGGATACGAGAGTGCCTAAGCATGGGCTAAGAAATACTCTGAACAGGGCTGACATTTAAGGCAGTGCATTGAAGTATGACCATCCTAGTGTTTTCCAAGTTCAAATGCCTTGGAGACACTTGTTATTACAGTGAAAAGGTAAGTGGAGCAGTGTGTGGTGTTTAAATCAAGATGGAAAGCATTAAGTTGGCCAATTAAGCATTAAATTGACCAAAGGTAATACACAGGATCAAAAGTGACTGCTAATTTCTAGCAGGAAAAAGTTCCAACTTCCATGACGTCTTCCACACCCAAATAGTATCAACAAAGTTCCTAAAAGAGGTTAAAATCAGGGAGATTAGTTACGAAGAGTCTATATCCATTGTTCATTTCTTCAAACACATCCCTTCTGTGACAATGACTGTGTGAGGCACTGACAACATAAACATGAAAAAGACAAGATCCTGGCCCTCCATTAACTCAAAATCTATTAACAGCTACAGAACTAATCATGATATAAAACAAATTGTAACACAACCTGACAAGTGGTGTGCTTGTGGCTTCCCCTGACGAATTCAGGGGATGTTAAAGGGTACCCAGCATGTGCCAACGACCATGCAGGGTGGCACAGGTACACAGATGACTAAGGACAGGAACTCTATTCCCAAAGAAGTCACAGTCTGGTAGGAAAAACAGCAGGTGACTACAACAGCATCTATGCACAGGCTGTGATGAGAGGAGAGAGTGACTCAGTCTGACTAGAGGCGTTAAGGGAAACCCCAGGGAAAGACGCTGCCTGGTCCAAGGATTGAAGGGATGCACAGGAGCTTAGAACGAGTGGGGAGAACAAATAACAGTACAAGCCTAAGGACAAAGGCATGATTGTGCATGTCGTGTGTGCAGAACAGAAAAGGTCTAAGCTGCTGGAAAACAGAACATCTGGGGAGTGGGAGAGAGGGTAAATGATGTCACTAGAAAAAGATCATGAACAGATTATGGAGGGCCATAGGAGCCATATTTCTTTTAGATACTAGATAACCAATATGCGTTTTTAGCCTGGAAATGTGATCAGATTTGTGTTTAAAGAAGATGAAAGGTGGCAAATGAACTATACAGGGGAAAGGGACTATAGGCAGGAAGCCTAAGGTGTCAGTTCAGGGGAGAAGTGTTGTGGGCCGACCACAGGGCAACGGCAACAGAAACAAAGAGGAAGGAATACACGCAGAGCCATTTCAGAGGTGGAGCCAATCTGACTTGGAAAGGAGCCAGATGGGAAGTAGGCGGGTGGGGGGAGGAGGGGAGGGAGTGGAAGAGATGACACTGATGCCTGGGTCTCCATCTTGGGAGCCCAGGTAAGTGGAATTACAGAAAACACAGGTTTGACGGGCAAAGTGAGATTAGTTTGGGACCTATGCAATTTGAGGGACCTATGGGACATTCATAGAACATTAAGTAGCAAGTACAAGTCCAGATCTGGGAGTCAAGAGAGAATCGTGGACCAGAGAAACAGAACAAGAGTCATCAACATATGGATTAATCTTTCAAGGGTCATGGATGTTGAAGGATTGACTGAATCTATGAACTTACCAGAAAAATATTTTTCTACACACTTTCAGGGGCTTCACTGGCCCACTAAGGACCATTCACAAACCACAGATGAAGAAGCCCAGCACAGACAGAAGGCAAAAGCAGCCGACATCACAGTGAAGAAGGGGACCAGGAACAGAAGCAAGCATAACCAGCAATCCAAGCATTGAGCTGATGAAGAGGAACCCTGGAGGGAAACTGAGAAGTGGCTAGAGATTCGGGGAGACCAGAAGAGACCTCATGATGTTTGGCATCACCAGATATCACCAGAATGACGTCAGCCAGGATCAAAACTACTAGTCAGAGCCATGAGGTTGTCAAATGCAGTTTTATGTATGTATAACACAGCCTACCTTCTGTAGGAACACTCTCTCCCAGGACAGTACCTTGATGAGCCATGAACACTCAGAATTCACCTTCCCTCCAGCTGACAAAAACCTCTCCTCCCACAAACTACAGTCATCGTGATACATGGCTTTAGGCTCAAGCACAATCTCTGACCAAAAATCAGAGCAAACCTAAGTGACTTGCATGGATAATGCCCCAACTTCATGGCAGCTAGAGTTTCAACTTTCCTCTACTCTGCTCTTAGCCATTAAAGAGTAGCCAAAAAAAATAATTTTATCTTCAATTCCTAGAAGTATCAACCAGTGAGTACCACCCAGGACAGCTGAAATCGGCAATTACTATATAACTTTCTAAAGATTTAAGTCTCAGACTACAAAACTGCTCGCTGTCTTCACATTTTTAATTCCCCTGGCACATCTCCATCATCAGGCAAAGTAACGGCTGAAGGAGTACCGTTGAAACGGACACTTGGAGGAGTCAACGGGAGTTTGGGAGCTTTCGAAACGATGGGACTTCCCAAACTGAAAGTCAGGGCACAGGGCCACAAGGAAGGCAAGCAGAAAATTAAAATGTGCTTCAAGGAAACTTGAATAAATCTAATGAGGTTATGGCTGTAAAACAGTGCTATTTTTCAAATTCTTTAAGCGTCTATAAAATCTCTTTTTTTCTCTGCCTGCCCTTTCTTGTTTTTTACTTCTTTCTTCAAGTGGTCTTAGCATCTGCCAATTGTTCTTCTGAAAAAGGAAAGCATAAGTATTTTTAGTGTTGTCTGTAAAAGCAAAGTCTAAGCCATATTCAGTTTAATCTTATCGTAAATCATCTTTCTGATCTCCCTCCAAAGTTACTTAGAAGGTATTTTTTAAAAGGTGTACCTTTTTATTTCAGAATTAACAAACTCAAGGTTATAAAAGAAATTTCAACTCAATGGTTCAGAAAAATCAAGGCTATGACCCCTTTTTTTCTGAAAAGGGACAGAGACAGGTTGCCGGTAGGCTGGCTGCTAAAGCTCTCAGGTCGGCCTCGTGGTATTTTCCGCAGCAAGACATTGAGAATAAACAGGAGACAAGGCCCTCGGACCTGCTCTTTGGCTGGGACAGCAAATATTTACAACTATTCAAAGAGTAAGCTATTGGCCAGAATTGGAAAAACATTTCTTTGTATTTACCTGAATAGTCACTTACAAAAATCCATTTTAGGAGAATTCACTTCTCTATTTAACAGATTTAACAGCCTGACAAAGATACGTAATTTCAAAATATGGAAAAATACTGTATTTGTAAAAACACAGA